TGTGTCTGAGGGTCCCCGCCCCGTGTGTCTGTGTCGTGTGTCTGAGGTCCACCAGCACCTGTGCCTCCACCTCCCTGTGGGAAGCAGGACCGCAGCCAGCTCCGTCCAAGCCCAGAGCCTGCTGGACTCTGCCCAGCTCTGGCACAAGCCCCTCAGAGCTTGGCCCCGGCCATGGAAAAACCTTGTCATGCTCACCCTGTCTGAGACTGCTGACACACCAGGCCCGGCCGGGGCTCCTGCCAGCCGCCGGGCAGGGGACAGACGGCTCTGACGCCAGCCTTTCCAGTGACGCTTCTCAAATACACCCTGTTCCCGAGCCAGGACTGAGGGTTCATGGCAGCCTGTCCCCAGGGGCATCAGCATCCAGCCCAACTCCTATTCCAGATGGAATCCATGTGTGCTCTGACACTGGGGCCCCATGGGGATGGCTGAGAGGGGAGTGCCATCCCTTCCTGTGTTGGCCACCCTCAGGTCTCCTGCATCCGTCCTTCCTTCCCTCTTTCCCTCCCTCCCTCCCTCCCTCCCTCCTTCCTTCCCTTCTTCTCTTCTTTTTCTTTCTTTCTTACAGCCTTGCTCTGTCGCCCAGGCTAGGGTGCAGTGGTGCGATCTCAGCTCACTGCAACCTCCACCTCCTGAGTTCACGCTATTCTCCTTCCTCAGCCTCCCGAGTAACTGGGATTACAGGCATGAGCCAGCACGCCCAGCTAACTTTTTGTGTTTTTAGTAGAGACGGGGTTTCATTATGTTGGCCAGGCTGCTCTTGAACTCCTGACTTCAGGTGATCCGACCTGCTCGGCCTCGCACAGTGCTTGGATTACAGGTGTGAACCACCATGCCCAGGCTCCCCTCAGTTTTCTGTGTCCCCTGAGGTTCCCTGTGTCCCCCCATCGGGGTTAGAGGTATCGTGGCCCCAGCACTGTCTGAGGCTCAGCCTGCTCAGGCAGGGGCACTCCAGTCTGGGAACCCTCAGGAGCAGCTCCCGGGTATGAGGCTGTCGGGACCCCTGAATGTCCTCCATGCCCGTGTGCTCCCACTGCCTCTTCACCATAGCCCCAGCCCCACGCCACACACTGGCATGTTTGTCCCCACAGCGTACGTGGTACGTGGTGGGGAAGGCCTGTCCCTGCTGGGCAGAGAAGTCCAGTATTTGGTGAATTCATGGGTGAGATGAGGCTTTGCCGAAGCCTCCTGGGACCAAAGGAGAGGTACAGCCAGGCAACAGCAAACGTTCACTTTATTACATGGACACGGTGTTAATCTGACCATCATGTCTCACAGCATCCACAGGCCAAACCCAGAGTACATCTGAGGGGGGCGGGGGCACCTCGAAACCCTGCACGCAGGCCTCGGGGCGGGCCTTCTCACAGCTGCAGGAAAACAACCCCATGCTCAGTCCAGCTCCTTTGGTGGAGTTGAAAAAAGAGGAGGAGGAAGCAGAGAGTAAGTCCCCTCCTCACCAGGCTGTGAGTGGCTGTGCCCAGCCCTGGCCTTACTGGCCCCATCCCCTCTGCCCTGGCAGATGCGGTGGGGGAGCTGACAGCTGGCCTGGCTGGGCTCTCCATGCCATCCAGGTGGGGACAAGGGGGCCCGTGGCTGTCATTCACGTATTTCAAAAGCCGGCTTTACTCCGAGTACTGATGCTGAGTTTCCATTACTCGGGGTCTTTGGGAAGGTACTCTGAGGCTCGGCTGGATTGAAACATAAAGAACAGACAGCGGGCAAAATGGAATTTCCTGGAACTTTGGGGAAATGGGGCAGGGGCTGTCAGCAGCGCCCTGGCCTTCTCTCTGAAGTGTTCACAGAGCTGGCGGGCCCCTGGGAGGCCAGCCCCATGCACTTCCCTACCCCCCGACTGTCTTCTGCTGCAGCCAGCACGCTGCTCACCCAGGGCTGTGGCCCCAGTCCCATTTCAGAGAGTGTGGGAGCTTTGGGGGCAGTGCGGGTGGAAATAGGCCCCTGGGGCTCAGGGACGCAGTGCAGGGACCTGCAGGGACGCCTCGAGGGTCCAGGGGTGCACTCACCCCTCCTGGCGGAATTCATCCAGGCAGGGCTGTTTCCAGAAGTGCCCAGTCTCGGGTGGTAAGGACTCAGCTCTGAGCCAACTGGGGCCGCGGGAAAGGGGATGGGAGACTGGCACCCCCATTTCCCCCTGAGGCGCGGAGCTTCGGGAGTGCTGGGGTCTCTGGAGGCTGCAGCTCCTCGGCTCCTGGGGACACCCCCTCTAGGCACTGACCCCTGGAAACAAGGAGTGGGAAGAGGGCGGCCCCACCCTACAGCATCCTGGCCCTGCTGGGGAATGTGCTGGAGCTCCTGACCTCAGGTGATCCACCTGCCTCGGCCTCCCAAAGTGCTGGGATTACAGGTGTGATTACAGGGGGCAGGGATCCTGGGCACGTGTGCGAGCAGCCACCCAGCGTGTGCTCCTGGCCCCTGGACACCCACATCACACCCCCAGTGGCCCCGACTGGCCAGAGCTGTTGTGAGGTGCTGGTCCCACCCACTCACAGCACCGGCCAGAGTCTTAGCTGCCCCTGGACGTGTCTGGAGCAGTCCTGGGCCTGGTTGCGCACTGGAGGGGCTGCTGCCCATGGGCAGGTTTCCTTAAGGCAGCAGCTGAGCTCATGGGAGGAGCCAGCAGCTCTTGCCACGGGCACACAGGGGCAGCTGGTGCTGCTCTGGGGTCCGTGGGGGAGAGGGTGGGGTGGGATGGAGGGATAGCTGTGTGGGTGGCCAGAGGACACACAGAGGACATGCGTGTGGGGCATGCAGGGACACGCGGGGTGTGCAGGGGCGTGGGGTGTCTGTGTGGGCACATGTGGGTGTGTGTGGGGGTGCAGGGTTGGGTGGGGAAAGGGTGAGGGCTGGGGACAGGGTGAAGTGATCTCTGGGATACTGGACAGACAGATGAGTCAGAAGAAAAAGTGATGAGAGAGAACCAGTCACTGGGGGGCCAGGCGGGGCAGGCACGATTATGGCTGGGACTGATGAGGGCTGGGACCAATGGGGTGGGACCGATGAGGCTGGGACGGACAGGCTGGGATGGGTGGGCGCTGGGATGGATGGGGGCTGGGATGGATGGGGGCTGGGACGGATGGGCGCTGGGATGGATGGGGGCTGGGATGGGGGTTGGGATGGATGGGCGCTGGGATGGATGGGGGCTGGGATGGATGGGCGCTGGGATGGATGGGGGCTGGGATGGATGGGGGCTGGGATGGGTGGGCGCTGGGATGGATGGGCGCTGGGATGGATGGGGGCTGGGATGG